CATTCTTGAGTGAGAACTGAATTATTTCAAGATATGACAAGACAACAATAAATAGCTACCATTGCAATAAATGCATGACAAAAATACTGATATGCAAAGGAAGAAAAAGGGGAAAGTGAATATAAAGAAGAAGTGGCTAATTTTAGATATCTACGAAGTCAGGACGGCCCTGTACGGTTGTAAACATGTATAGTGGGCACGGCAGAAAAGAAAAGGTTACAGGCGTTCGAAATGTGGTGTTACGGACGAATGATGAGGATGCCGTGGATAAATAAGGTTAAAAATGAAGAGATATTAGAAAGCATGTGAGAACAGAGGACTCTATGGAAGTCAATAAGAAATAGGCGAGATATGTTGGTAGGACACCTTCTCAGGGTAGAGGTAGACCTAGATTAGATTACTGTTCGCAAATAGTTAAGGATGTGGATTGTTCTAGTTTTAGGGAAATGCGAAGACTAGCTCAGGACAGGAAAGAGTGGAGGTGCGTGTCCAACTAGTCTTACGAATTGGAATATATTAAATTCATTATTCATTTAGACAATTCATAACGTAAAATCCACCCCCGAATTTTGAGTTAAACAAATTTTCGAGTTTCAAGAAGGGAAGATGTAATGTTCGAGTTACTGAAGTTCGAGTTATTAATATCTACGTATTTAAACCAATCAATATAATTTAAAATAACAAAAATTATACTTATGGATTTGCTTATTATTTAGAAATATTGAGTGGTGGTAATGCAATATCTTGTTTTATTTTAGTAATGTCAGTATTGGTATCTACTAAAGAAGACCTTGACAAAACGATGTTCGGGGCAAGACGGGACGAGCGTTAATGTACGTAACTCGTAGGGCATATGTGCCCTTGACAGGGCTATTCGAACAAACTGTAACAGGCCAGTAATCAAATTGCAATAATGTCAGTCAAAGATCGTTGCAGTAGTATCGAAGTTTAATATTACGTTCCTACAGCTGAACCATCTAGACATGACCCCTGATTTTTTCACCTGCAGTACAGATGATAAAAAAGAACTGTGCATTCGACTAGAAAAGGATGTCGCTTACGTTCATACGTTCTGAAGGAAGAACTTGGTCATTGGGAACACCCTATTTAATCATACTTTTTATGTTTTTATTCTGTTTATTTAGTCGTCCACTCTATTGATTATGAAAATTACAACAGGGCCATTTGGTGTGGGTCAAGAAGAGATGAACTTAAATGATTTGTCTTAACATAGAATAGCTATCGTCCAGTACGCATCTGTAGGCATTACAATCTCAGGGGCCACGTCTCGTTGGTCCAGCCGTGCTTTTCGTAGTCGTCAACCGTTTTTGGTTAAAAAAAAAAAAAACTTGGGTGTTTCATTCCCACCAGCCAGTAATGCTGGTGGGCGGGAAGTCCCTCCGGACTATGCCAGAAGGAATTCCCTATTCAGCCTGCTTTTAGGAATCGTGGGAATGGGTGGGTGCTGGTTCGGATGAGAAAGTTGAGACGGACGAAATGAAGACAGAAGAGAATGAAGGAATATCTGTGGAATATTACTGCCGCGGCATTTGCCTAAGTGATCCAAGGAAACCAGAGAAAAACTTGGACCAAGGCAGACGGACCCGGAATCGAACCGGCGTCCTCCCGAATGCTAAGCAATGGTCTAAACCTCTAGGCCATGCCGCTCGGTCGTTTTTGGTTAGAAGTGCTCGGTTTAAGTACAAAATATGTTTGTTGAGGCAAAATGGTGGGGGCATAAAGGGACATTAAACAAATTAAGAAGCCCAGAAATAAAGTGTGCTTCAAAAAAAAAAACTTGGGTGTTTCATTCCTACCAGCTACTAATGCTCGTGAGCGGGCAGTCCCTCTGAACTACGCCGAAGACTAGGACGTAAGGTCCCTCTTCAGCCTCCTTTTAGGAGAATTGGTAGATGGGTTAGGATGAGAAAGATGAGACGGACAAAACGAAGAGAAGTGAAAGAAAGACCATCTGTGAAATAAAATTATTATTACTACTGCCCCAGAAGTTACCAAGTGTTCCACAGAAAAACTTAGACAAGGGTTGACGGACCCGGAATCAATTAAAGGATGGTTATTTTGTAGAGTGTGTAATAGTTAGGACCATAATATAATTCTTAGATTACAGTCGATGTGCACCACACTTAATTATGTGCATACTTGTGAACGCTATCAGACTGATTAAAATAAATGCTATTTTTACCCAGTGCCATTTCCCATTATGCCCCGAGTACACGTGGCAAAATGGGAAATTTGGGTTTCTTACACTTGATCGTCATTATCGGAAAATTAAGTGATTTAGCATGTGGAAAGTTTTGAGTATATCTAAAGTTGATGCATAATGTTGCTATCTGAGTAAAATTTATTCTGTTAAACAGTTTCATGTTTTTTGTATGATGATTTTTTTTTATTACTACCCCACCATGCTATAAAGCGACGAATTTGATATATTTAGAAATGGGATATGGTTACTTTAATCTAATATTGAAAGTGGATTATATAAATTAGAATGACCAGTCAACAATTTAAACATAGTTAATTAATAATTTAATAGTGAGATAATAATCTTAGTTTACCTTATTAGATAATTTAGAAACGTAGAACATAGGGTGAAGACGGTAAGCCGCCTCACCACCCTGCATCTTCGTGATGTTAAATTCAACTCGCGACTCCCGACTTCCCTTTGTCATTATAATTATTAATTCTGCTATTTAAACGGGTGCTAATTAACCTTCTAACGCAGTAGATAAGTGGGTGTTAGCTTGCAGTTTTAAATAAACAATTTGGATGTATTTATGGATACTGTGTAGGTAACACTTCCCTACTTAATGAAATTGCTAACGAGAATTGTAAAGGAAGTAAAAAACCTAATTAATTAATCATAAATATGGAGTCTTAAAATTTTCTTTAAACGTATTCAGAGGCAGTTTGTACAGAGCACACCTGACCGTTCCAGTCAAGGTAAAACTGATTCGTTATTCATAACACAAATTAAGACTGAGGTGTCGCTGATTATTGATGCAAAATTTTTCAAAAACGACCTCGGTTATATTTTGCAACAACTTGAAAAGCTCAACGAGTGGGCAGATGTTTGGATCATTCCTTTTGCTTTCTTTTTATTAAAATAAATATACGAGTAAGAGTTAAGCGAGGCAAGATTGAGAATAAATATGCAAATTTATTGGATTACCTCTTATTAACACGACCTGTAAGTACCTATGTAACTATAGTAAACGCAAAACATAATGAAACTAGCGTTCGAAAGAATAAGAGCCCGTGTGTGTGTGTGTGTGTGTATGTTTGTTTAACGTAATTATATCAACAATTTTCTTGGTTAAAAGAATCAATACATAGCACTTCGTATAACCAACGATCAAAAGCGAAGACAGTTCGAATGGGTGAGAAGAAAATCGATTATTTGTATCTACACTAAAATGTTATAAAATTTCAGATTTACTATATATATCCATTTTTTCCCAGTCGAAAAGTTTATTGAACATCTTTTTAATAAATAAAATCTATAATAAGAGAATGAATGGGTATATTTTCCGAAGCATGGAATTATTTTATCAGTTAAACAAAGTTATAATTGTTATTATCAAATAGGTATGAAAACGAATTTAAAGTGCAACTAATTTTGGTTAATTTTAAATTTCAAAGAAAATGAAATGAAACTGCCTACATATGAGTGTATCTAGACTACATTATTGTACCAACTACCTGTTTTACTAATTTAACAGAAAGCGAAACACCTGGAAGATATACCTAACCAATTGCGAAATAAATACGCGCCCGACTAAGATAATTCATCTCGTATTGACTCGAACCCTGAAGTAGCTGATCAAGCACTTATTAGGTTTTACTACCTGTCCGATAGCTTAGTACAGATCAATCCGAGTCCGAGCCTATCACTTCTTAACACATCTTTTCGCAACTGTCTGGTAATAATATTAAGTTTAACTGGCAGCGTAGGTAGGTACCTAAATCCATAATTGCTGAGCGTACCCTACAGGCTTGCAGCAGCTGCTTATTCATACCCACTGAATTGATACTGTAGTAGGTACATGGTTACTCTACAATAACAAAATATGCAAATATTTGAATGCACGAAACAATTTAGGCCAGCAAAGCACTGAGTGAATGTAATTTCCGTTAAAAAATCATTATAGGTGTGAGTATATATAGTCATTACTTTTTGGGAGTCCAAATGTTCAAAATTTATTAATTTACTACTTTAAAAGCAGCCCTTCATAAGGAAGTTTCTTTTGTATGCATTTGCACTTTTAGAGCGCATATAGGTGCTTATATTTTTGATTTCTCACCTAATATTGAGATTTAATTGAATAAGAATAAAAAAATCTCTCTATTTACTATGCAAATCCTAGTGGTCACACTTTTCTCTCGCTACGTCTTATTTTCTTCTGCTTGACAGACAAAATCTCAACATATTATGTTTTATCACTAACTGAGGAAAAATGTGTATTCTACAAAATTTAAAAAAAGTGTAAAAATTAACGTAAAGAGAAAAGAATCGACCGACCTGAACTCCTGAAAAAACCTTAATGATGCAATAACTAATGATTTAAAAACCTGCCTTCCTAACAACCGGCTGGCTAATCCATAAATCACACAAGCACGTGTTCACGGCCCGAATAAAACATGAATCGAGCTTTCTTTCAGGATCAGAACGCATTCATACGTTGCAGCACTCAACTCAGAATGCTCTCTCTTCCGTGTATCGGAGGCTACGTGCAGCAGTAGCCAGAAACATTTAAAAGGAAGAAGGCCAAATCGCCACTCATGTCACTCTTAACAATCCGCTCAGCTGAGCATCAAATCTTAAACAATTCACAAATTATCAATTTCTAACTGTTAGGGTCCCGCCTTCCGATCAGCTTTGACTCCTCCCCGCGCATGACTCTAAAGTCGCTTAACCACGCTGGACGTGCGACTCAGGAGATGCCCCACTTAGTTATCCTTCTCTTTTTGGCTTGTTGTGTTAAACGGAACCCGGACGTTGTCTGTCTCGTTCTCTACGCGAGGACACGATCATGAAAGAATCACATCCTCACACACACACTAGATCCAATCAACGCGTGGGACTGGCTAGTGCTAGCGCCAGTTTTCCGACCGTCTCGACGCGAATGTATCACTATCATATAAACTTGCACGTGATGCAGACGTCTCAGTGTTAGTCGCGACATCATATTACGATTAGGTACTGATCATCTTCGTTGCCGAAATCAAGTGGCATTCGAGTGCGTAACGCTTAATCATCGAAAAGATCACTTTTCTATTGGCAATCCTCAATCACTTTCGGAAAACGTGTGCGAACTGGTTTTTCTTAGTTGCTACATTTTATCCGTTGATGTAGACGATTAGCCGTGACCTATGTTGACTTAGTGAACAAAAACTGTCAGAAATAAGGACTCTGAATTGAAAATGTAAATAGCTGTCGTACATTTAGTGAAGGTGTTAACAGACTGAATATTAAATGACGATGAGTTCATATCAATTTGTGAATTCATTAGCCCAATGTTATGGGCAACAAGCCCGATCGGCGACTGCGACTTCGGATCAGGGAGCTCATCAGAACTCCAGCCCAGGTGCAGACTATTATAATCCGAACGCGGCCACTGCGGCCAATTATCCCCCCGCGTGCTATTCGCCGCCGCAGGTAGGCCCGCAATATGGCCAACATCCGTATGCAACACCTGCCCCGGGACATGGTCTGCAACCTCCGATGGGCGATTACACCCAATTGCAACCTCAAAGAATCGGAGGAAATCCTCACCTCCATCATCCGAATGCCGGAGCACAAAGTCCTGGTGTCATGAATCCTTCGACAAGTTGCAAGTACGCGGAGACAAAACCAGTTACCGTGGCATCTCCGCAAGATCTCAGCACCACGGCAACTCCATCAAGGAGTACGCCGCCTCTATCAGGAAATCAAAATTCTAGTAGTGGCAGCAGTGTAACTATCACCCCTAAAAGTTCCAGTATCACATCTCCCCTGTCCGTCAGCACTTCTCCGCAAGGTAAACAGACAACATCTTCGTCTGTCGCTTCGCAAAATTTATCCTCGCCGGCTTCGAGCACCAGTTCGACTTCAAGTAACGAAAAACCAGGAAATAACAATAGCAGCTCAAAATCGTCATCGTCACAAAATCCTCCGCAAATCTATCCCTGGATGAAGAGAGTCCACCTAGGTCAAAGTAAGTGATTCTTTGATTATTCTCGTAAGCCATCTGTTATAAAACTAACAGTCGGCCGATAACTAAGTGATTAATGACTCCGGTCTTGAGTTAAAGCTCGAAAAGTAACCGAAACATTTTCATATTCAGATAGCCGTCGTGTAGTACGTAGCTGGTAAACTAGATCCCATCTTTTGTTAGGGATGTCTTTGCCGTTAACAGATATAGTTAGGTCAGTACCGAAGGGTAATAAATCAATGTGTCCGCTCCTTGCATCACGTCGTCCTTTCGGACCCATTACACTCTTATATGGCAGTTAAGAGCTTGCTTCCTGTACGACTAACAAAAATTCGACTGTTTTGAACTCGAGTTAAAGCGTGAAAATTATGATGCAGTTACCCGATACTTTTGCAGATTTCTAAAGCTTCTAATAAAGGAAACCACAGTGAATATTAGTAGCACTTTTCAATAGCTTTTGAGCAATACAGAATTGTCCTTTCACCAAAAAAAAGAGAAAAAGTTGGATGAGTACCTAATACAATTAAAAGAGTTTAAAAAGTAGAAGTAATAATAATTGCCGTGATGACGGCTCGCTTTAATACGTCTTTTAGTAATTAGTAGTAATTTCTCTGCAAATGAAAAATAAGCTATGGTAAAGTTACATACTATATAAGCGTTTAACTACCTGAGTTAATATAATTATCATGTTATAAGCAATAATTATTACACAGCGGCTTCCACAATGATTATGCTCGATAACTGTAGAGTATAGCTTAATTAGTACTAATAGATATGACTATTTAATGGCGTATATAAAATGATTTGTATTACCATAAAAAGTATAATTTAAGCAAAAATTAAAATCGTACTTTCAGGATGAAATTTTCTGCCAAAGAAGAATATTATTATAAACCGTTCGTTTCTCCATATAGTTTACGTTTTTTCACTTGTAAAAATACCACATAATAATTGCTTAAGCCCTTGAATTAAGCCCTTCAAAAATTACCGAACCGTAAAAGGTATATTTATAGGTAGGCAATAGCTCTAAATCAATGGAATCTATATTTCAATATTGCAAAGAATCATACAAAATACAAAGGGAGAATAGAATAGAACATTGACGAATAGGTTAGGATATAAAGTGGAAAGGACAAAGGGGTTGTAAGTAACGTTCAGAGACAGATATGGGGTGTAAACAGCCGTTACCTACATCGGCACATCGTAAAGTATTTTTTATGAACGTACATTCAAACGCCGTCGCGTCGTTAGATTAAATAAAATAAAGCTCAACAGGAGCTGATAAACATACTGAGAAGTTAAGAACTGAAATAAAATTGTAGAATGTGTCCTGAAACGCTTCTGATCTCATCGTCGATAATCTTCATAAGTCAACCAAAAACCCAGTCGGTAAACTTATGCCTTCAAGAAGGAATGATTTTGTTAGCCAACATGATAAAAAGCGTCCTGGATAAAAACTTTGAAATTGTTGAGTCATGATTGAAATAAATAAGCGAAGAGCTGCTTCCAAATAAACTACTTGCCTAAACCTGCTTAATAGATATGAAAACTCACATTTCCACACAATATGTTTAAAACATCTGAAATGGATTTTGACTTCCAAGGAGTTATTCTCAGTCAGAGACTAGATTAATATCTATGTATGTATTATTAGGAAGTAATACTCTTTTTTAATATGTAGAATGATCATACGTTTGTATTTTTATTATAAAAAATTAACGTAGATTTCAATTAAATTTTATTGTGCTACAAGTCACAGTGTGGCATAATGAAATTTAATTCAAATTTATATCAACAATATGCTTATTTAAGCAAATATCGAGTATGTATTATTTATTTATGCACAAATTCGAAAAAAATTGTTAAAGGTGTATGTCTGGAACGCAATGCTTTATGGGTGCTAAACATGGACGGTGGACGCGACGGAAAAGAAAAGGTTGGAAGCGTTTGAAATGTGGTTTTACAGATAAATGATTAGAATGCTGTGGATAGTGAAGGTTAAAAACGAGTAGGTATTAGAAAAAATAGGAGAGCAGAGGCCCTTGTGGAAGTCAAAAAGAAATAGGCGAGATAGGTTCATGAGGCAGAAATAGGAATTATGAGGAGTAGAGGTAGACCTAAATGAGATTACTGTTCACAAATGGTTAAGGATGTGGGGTGTTCCAGTTTTAAGGAAATGCGAAGATTAAATCAGTCTTAGTTGTGTTTTTTAGTGTAGCCCTAAATGTTGGATTGTCTGTAAGTCAATTGGATAGTGAATTGGTATACTGATTGCATGTACACAATTAAAGGTTTAGTAGGTAAAGTGGTTTTTGAACATACCCTTACCGAAAGTACGATAGTTTTTCCTAATAATTTAAGAAGAAACAAAAGCGACCATTTTCCTCCCGACTAAGAAGTTGCATATTTATTGTTCCTTATTATTAGGAAAGGATTCTACCATCTTCATGTGCATAGTTTACACCCGGCAGATATTAAAATATTTTCCTCTTACTTAATAAATAGTAAATGCGGTTTCTTGTCTTTGAGGTTATGTTGCGCTTTCGCCCTCGAAATCAGGAAAGTCGAACTTTCGAAGCAGGCATATGTAAAAAATCATGTATAGGTCTCGGAAAAATACTACGGGACCCTCTTCTAGAAGTTTTTCGCCTACACACTCGGAAAAGAATGTCATACATTCCTCCCTTAGTTACTTACTTTCTAGTATAATAATTCCTATGTTAGATTATGCATATACTACCTACCTACTCGAAAGATTTAATCTTAACATGTGTATACCAAAAGGTAACTTGTGTTAATTAATCTACTAATTACGGGACTTCCTAAAAGTACACGTGTACGAATAAGTAATAAGTACAATTATTTTTTGTGACCATTTAAATTTGTACAAGTTAAGGTCGAGTGGCTGAATTTGCCTCACCCTTTTGGTGTTCGCGTCTCCTCAAGCTACTAAATTATATTTCCCAAGGGGTGATGTATTTTTCATAAACTTGTTTAGCTACCCACATGAGCAATATTAGCTCCCAAAGACATATATCTTTTCGTCCCGTAAGCCTCTTTGAACTGAACATCTTTTTTCCGGACAACTATAAATTAAAAGAGGAGCCAGGTCGCGGCATGCTCGATGGGTTTGTGTATAAGTATGTGTTTTTACGTGCACACGCACACGTAGGTATCTACTATAGAAAAACGCACAGGCCCAAGAACAACCTCTGATGATGGAGATTGCGGCTGAGTTTACACCCTATTTTAATTTCTGACGCGACACAACAACCCCTTACACATGGGGTCGTTGATTTATTGCCAATTCATTGCTGTTTATTTGTTTGTTGATAGTTTTCTTACAGATACTGCCGCACACCGTTGGTGCAATTTAATCTTTGTTTGATTATTATGAAGTAAAAGATCAAAATTTAAAAATAAAAGAAGCACGGTGTATAGTTATTTATCGAAAAATTCTTTTGTAATTACTACCCGTTGATGGCTACGCATTTTAAATGCAAAATTTGTTGAAAGGTATATCTTCGCAAAAGCATCTACTCTAGAAGATTCTGCAATATATTCTCTATAGTTAGGACGATCAAAATTGGAGAAGTCCACAATAAATTATTTGTGAGAATGGACGTATCATCTTTCTTGTTTCTACTTAGGACTGCAGTCATTCGTTGCATTTTGAGAATGCACTTGTTAAGTTAGGAAATGCTTCATGAGGAGTACAGACAATGTGAAAAGAGATAACTGAATAATTATGGTCGGCTTTATGGTTGGAATTATATCTTAGAACAAGCGTCTTGCTATCCTAAATTCTTGAGAATGTGGAGCTTTCTTTAAAGTCCGATGCTGGCAACATGTTCAACTGTTTGCATCTCTTTCTGTTACATATCAATTGCTGTAATGTTATTCCTTTTTCTTTATTAGTGTCCGCTGCAATTCCTACCTGACATCTCTTTCCTATGTTGACGATATTCCCTATATCCTATAAAGCATGTTGTGAGTAAAAGTAGTAGATTTGGGCCGTTGTAATAAACAATTACTTATCAAATAAAAAGTTTATTAGGTTAACATTAACAATCTGTAAATGACGATATTGATCATAACCTGAAATTACAAAATACAGTGGATTTTATTTATTACAACCTTGGTTATAACCACCATTTTTGCTATAGCGTCCTCTGAAGTCCCTTGAATTTAAACCATACTTTAGTACAAAATTTATGTGGTTATAGCGACTTCGAATGTAACGCCATGTTCGGGTGTAGCGACTATTTTTAATGAATCATTTGTAACAAATCCCTAGTAATCCCATGCAGATATAGCGACCGGAGTCGGCTGCCAAAGACACAAAGAGCTTTCTTTTGTTTTAAATAAAGGCGGAAATCGTTTCAAAATTGAAAAATGGTGAAAACTATACATACTTGTCTGTACTACGACTACCGGATTAACGACGAAATTACAGTGGTCCTTTCATTGTCGTTATACCTGAAATCCACTGTAAAAGATTTGACGAATGCGCCCTTTCAGAAAAATACAATTTTATCTTCAAATATAGACAGCAAAGAACAGGAGTCTTCAGTTTACTTTCTATAACTAACTTTTAATAAATTACTTATTACAAATAATCATGTCACGGGTTAACTTGTCTTTCTCCGCCTTCCTTCGCATGTTTTTCGAACCTTATTGCAGCTTATAACTTTTGAGATTCATGTAAAACAATAAACAAATGGTAATTTGTATTGTAAGAAAGTTATTTATTATGGAACATGCATATCTGTAATTGTATAGGTACTCACAATAAAGGCAGTGGTTGATTTGTCCTTAATATAAAAGCAAAATAATAACACAGCGTGTGGGAAGATTGTAGATACTATAAGACAATAAGGTTTTACAGTAGCATATTTAATTGCTGCCCAGTTGATCATTTATATGTGTTGTCGATTTTTTAATAAAAGAAGACAATACTCTTGGGGTTAAGTATAGGTAAGATAGTGTTAGACAAATAAGAA